CAGGGCACACAGAGACGAACAACCATCCACGCTCACACTCACACCTAGGGACAATTTAGAGTGTTCAATCAGCCTGCCATGCATATTTTTGGAATGTGGCAGGAAACCGGAGTACCCGGAGAAAACCCACGCAGGCCTGGGGAGAACATGCAAACTCCACACAGGGAGGAGGAGCTGGAATTGAACCCGGTACCTCTGCACTGTGAGGTCGACGCACTAACCACTGGATCACCAGGCCGCTTAGTTGCATAAGCAGTACAATATATTATTGAACAAATAAGATGCATCGAGGTAAAGCTAAAAGCGCATCAAAGGATTAACCGCACTTGCTTTGATTTCTCTTAGTGTCTTTTTGGCAACATTTATCCGAAAAGAAGGACCAGCCTTAACAACTGGAGAAGAAAATCCACGCAGGTACTGTGAAATAAGCCGGCTCACATTTCAAAGCAGCCATGTGTGACTCAGAGTTATCATATACTTGTTATCATAGTTGTGGCACAGATTTATGTGTTTTCATGCGTTCCTCTTAATAGAGGTTATCTTGTTTTTACATTTGTGTGACAGTTAAAAATGCTTCCGGGCTGCTTACCTAAAACATCCATCCATCCATCCATCCATCCATTTTCCGATCCGCTTTATCCTCACAAGGGCCGCGCGGGATGCTGGAGCCTATCCCAGCCATCTTTGGGCAGTAGGGCACACAGACGAACAACCATCCGCGCTCACACTCACACCTAGGGACAATTTACAGTGTTCAATTAGCCTGTCATGAATGTTTTTGGAATGTGGGAGGAAACCGGATTACCCGGAGAAAACCCACACAGGCACGGAGAGAACATGCAAACTCCACACAGGAAGGCCGGAGGCGGGATCGAACCCACCACCTCTGCACTGTGAGGTCGACGTGCTAATCACTTGACCACCAGGCTGCCCACCTAAAACATTGGTTATTTATTTCATGAAGTCTTTATGATGGCAACAGTTTTGACACTATTACAAATTATTACCATTTCCTTTTTTTTTTTTTGATAAAGTAAATGTGAACATCGACCCATGCATTCATTTTCTATGTCCTCATTAGAGTTGCAGGGGAGCCTATCTCAGCTGATTTTGACTGACTGGGCAAAAACAGTATAGACAAACAACCATACACCCTGACATTCACACTTCATTTAGGGTCTTCAATTAACCTCATGTGCAAGACTTTGGAATGTGGGATGAAGCTGGAGTACCCAAAGAAAACGCACAAGCAAACTTCACATAGGGAGGCCTGTACTGACATTCGACCTCGAACCTCAGGACTGTGAGGCTGATGTGTCAACCACGATTCCACTGTGCTGCCCAGTCCATATAATATACAAAATGTCATTGAATTTTGAAAATCAGCATTTTCAAGTACTGTACAGTCAAACCTCGGTTTTGAACGTCTCTGGTCTCGACCAAATCGGTTTTCGACCAAAAATTTAGAGTTTTTTATGCCTCGGATTATGACCGAAAATCGGTTCTCGACCAAACTGAGCGCACTTGACTTCGCCACTTGACTCCTCTCGCCTTCCTTACACGAGGAAGTGACGCTTTCTCGGGTAGACGAGGAAGTGACGCTTCCTCGTGTCGCGTTCCATTGTGGGCAGACGTGTTCAATAAAGATTTTTTTTTAAAGAGTGTGGTTTCGGTTTTCGAACAGCCTTCTGGAACGGATTATGGTCGAAAACCGAGGTATGACTGTATTCCAATGGCTGTTAATACAATGAATAGAGAGCATAGATCATCTTTTGTGTCTCCGCTCTAGCAAACATTTTTAATAAGCAGTTGTTTTTTTAATGACTTTTGACATCATCAAGGTAAGTGGTCTGAAGTTAAAGTTGCGCGCCTTCACTGCTACATGTCAGACAGCAATGAGCTCGACTGATTTCAGATAAGATAAGGAAACTTTTATTTGTCTCACAATGGAGAAATTCCCAATTTACAGCAGAAAAAATATGAAAGGGAGAAAGTAGAAGACAAAAAGTATATCAATAAATAGAAATTAAAAATATAAAATATCAATATAAGCATCTTAAACATGGGTGAGTGGGGGTGACTCCAGGTTTTCAGGACTGTCTCTTCAATTCAAGATGCCGTGAATTTCAGAGCAAGAAGTGGAGAAGGTCTCCAACTAAGATGCAGGAATAGTTATTATTATCACCACAGAGTAGAGAGAATATATACTCGTGAGCAATGTTGCCCTCGTTTAATATTTTGTTGCTTGAATAAACAATGGTTTGGTCTCTTCTGTCGTATGTGATGTTGCTGCATGCCAGTTGTGTTTCCAAATAAAAATGCCGTTACCATCCAAACGGATCCGTCATTGGAATGGTTTACAAGGCATACTGCATGATGAATGGCAATGGTAGAAGTTGAAACACAGCCTTTCGAGCTACCTTTGACAAAATGGAAAATGAGTGTGTAAGAAGGTCACGGTTTACCTATGACAGACACACATCCCAGTGGGGCTATGAGGGATGCTGGAGCAAAGCCGTAGGCCGCAAAATTCCCCAGTTCACCAACACCCATGAGAAGCAGACCGCACCACCACAGCACAGAGGTGTAGTAAGGCTTGGAGCCTCGCTGGGACAGACAGACGTGGGCATATTTCTGTTCGGAGGAGAGGGAAAATGGGTTTGCGGCAGCTCCAGATCCATGTAGTAAACACTTGTATCAAACACACTTGCACATCACACTGTTGGCAATAAATCACAGTGTACACTTTCAGGAATATGTCAGCACAGGGTTGCTGCGCAGCTGTTAATATTAACACAAAACTTTCAGCTGATTAGCATTTAATCAAAGAGGTGGCATGACACCAATTAAGCAAATCAATGAGTTGTGAAGCTCTTCAAGCCGAATAAGGACGCGTTCCTCAAGAAATCAGCTTACAGTGCCCAAACAATGGAAAACTGCATTTGCATAGCATTTTATATTTTTAATTGTTGTTTCGACCTCAGTTAGTTACACCTGTTGAAAAGATTTTTCAGTCACTTTACATCAATTTTAACTTCAACTTTATTTTGATAAGCTGGTCGGCAGACCTCTAAAATATTTATGGATTTGTAAATAAGGAGAGCCGAGGGCACTGCTGTAGATTGGCACTTGGGGTAGCCATCTCATACTCAACAAGGTGTTAAAAAAAAAAAAAGCTTGTGTCGCTTTAATATGTCAGTCACCAAAATGTATGCCTATATCAACATCTAAAAATATTGCTCCAATATTTTGGATTTGATGGGCGTGAGGGCCTCTATAGAGAGGAAAACGCCATCTGTATCAAAAATCTGTAATACTTGGGCCATCATTCAAATATTTTCAGAGGTTGTTGTATGAGCATAGTAGAGATGTCAACATACATGTTGGTGACAATTGATCGCAGTTTTCGGACAGGCGATGTTTAGTCTCCTACATTACGCATTAAAACTGTCGGGGCGCATCACAGTACGGCAAGTGAGGACAGACATATTACATTGGTGTTGGCAACTAAAAGGCCATTTGAACCCGTTTCATAAAAGAAACCATGGGAGCCACAAACCCTTTGGACATCTACAATGAAGGTTGATTTCCTTTTTTTTTTCCCCCTTTTAATTTCTGCTGCAGACACCTGTTGAACCGGGTGACCTATTAGAAGCGATATGTCAGCACATCCACCATATTTGAAGTGGCCATTGTATCCGCCATAAAATCGGCAAATAAAATTCATAAAATGGAGTTAGAATGACTTAATAGCAAAAGCAATGGTTTGGTATTAATCCGGTGAGTTCTTGCATGATGATAGATCTCCAAGGACCAAGTGAATGAGGCATCTTCACAATTAGCTTGACTTTACCACACCCAATTCAACTGCGGCATCAACATACCCAAGATGGCATCGATGTAGATGTATTGCAAATAACGTCTATGATAATATATGTCAGCGGTTGTCAGAAATGGTGCCATTCAAGAGTATTGACTAGAAGTGGCAGTGCTACGCAAATACTGTATATCCAAATGGTTGGAGCAAAGCAAGTGCTGTCTTTAGGGTATACTTGGAGATCAAAATTGCCCCCCATGCATTTCAAGGATGGGGTCTGGCGACGGGTCTGGTGATCAGGTATGCATTTGAGGCATTGAAGCGGATTCGAGGAAACAACAATTGCCAAAACAATACAGTTCAAATAAATATCGTAATCTTGATAATAAACTGAAATATCTATTTTCAGAGTACCTTTTTGTTCACCTATTCAAATTTTGCCAAGAACCAACTTCCAGACAATGTTTTTTTGGTCAGATCTGTTAGGGAGGGGCCAGCCAGGCAGCCTCCTGAGCCAGGGTGCTCTGCACTTCACACCTGATACTCGTCAGCTCATCACCCACCTGTAGCCAATCTGCTCCTTTGGACTGGTATAAGTTGGCTCCCAAACCAGTCCTCGGTGCAAGTTTGTGCCGTTACCACCTGTAGTGAGCTCTGTTAGCATCTCTTGAAGTTTTCGTTTCCTGTACAGACATTTCCTTGTGGACTCCTTGTGCTTCTTCCTGAACTTTTGAGAAAGTCCCTGTTTTTTCCCTGAGTGAGGGTTTCGCATCCTGTACAAGACTAATAAACAACGCCAAATGTTGGCTTGCACCATACCTGCCTGTTGTTGTGCAATTGGGGTCACATACAAACCTTAACAAGATCGTCATAATTAGTTAAATTATTTCTCCTTAACAATCAATAACTAAAATACCATTTATATGAAGGCCTCAATTATTTGTCCAGCATATTGCAAATACAAACAAGAGATTGTTACGTCTACTGTACCTATGACAGTGTTCAACTAAAGTCAAGCTATGATGGTTAAGGCTTCTTCTTGAAACGCCCTCGCTCGCACTTGTAACACATCAGTAGGCCACACGTTTGCTCCATAATTTTGTGGAACTCAGGCTACGCTGTCGGAGATTTGCACCAAACTGTTAAAACAAATTGAATTTTAGTCATTTCATGTGCCGGATAGCAGGATTGCGGAGCATCCTACCTGTATATTGAGGGAAATGCTGATGAGGACGTTCCCACATATGGAGATGATGATTCCTAGGAGATATTCCTGTGGAGACAAACCGTAAACAGCCAGGAGATTAGGTCACGCTCTACTAGTCACACAACAACTCCCACAATACTGAAACTCTTGCCGTGCCAGCTGTCACTTTTGTGGAAGTCACATAGAAGATTGTGAAAATCCTGTTCAAAAGCACGAGTGCTTGCATATGTGCCTCACTTGACAGTTGATACTTTGGGAATATCAAAGTCTCTCTTCCTTTACATTAATATGCAACAAACAGACGGGAAGCACTCACATGGAACAGTGCCATACATGCCTCTCTCAGAAGTTACTCACACATAAACAAGACACAGTATCACACACACCCACACACCAAAAAAAGGGTACAGTCAAAGTCCATTTCTGTCACACACACACACACAAAAGGGTACAGTCAAAGTCCATTTCTGTCCCTCAAGTTAAAATCTACACTAATGCACACTTGGGGCTAATTATTGAACTCAGAATTAACAGTTTAGCCAATATTACGCATGTTCAATTATTCTCTCTGTTCTACTTCCTTCACGCTCTCTTCTAGACATTCACCTTGACTTCATAATGTACGTTTGTTGACTTATTACCACACACCAAAAAAAGGGTACAGTCAAAGTCCATTTCTGTCCCTCAAGTTAAAATCTACACTAATACACACTGGGGGCTAATTATTGAACTCCGAATTAACAATTTAGCCAATATTACGCATGTTCAGTTATTCTCTCTATTCTACTTCCTTTGCGCTCTCTGCTAGACATTTACCTTGACTTCATAATGTACGTTTGTTGACTTATTAAACACATAAAGCAAGGATGAGCCACGCCAGAAGCAAACAGGATTATGACTTGTGTTTATGGCTTTGTCTAAAAGTGGGAAGATGTTTGATGATCATAGTGTATCAGTGGTATAACAGGATTTGCGAGAAGGAGGGGGTAGAATGCAGCTTGCCGGGTGGCTGGGTAGTGCGCTTCTAGGACTGAGTTTAGTTAAACAGTGTGTGTGTGTGTGTGTGTGTGTGTGTGTGTGTGTGTGTGTGTGTGTGTGTGTGTGTGTGTGTGTGCAGCATTGATTAAATTTGATAGTCTTACTTTGAAGCGACATTGTGTAGCATCTCACATCAACTCACATCTTAAAATCATTCTAATGGTCAGATGTATCAAAAGTACAGTATTCCCATTCACTACTCAAGTAGAAGTGTACTATAGACCTGAAGGTGAAGTTGAAACTCAACCTTTTGTAGAGTAACGTGTAAAATAAATGGTTTCAAAATTACTTTAAGTATAAAAGTAACAATAATGCAAAGGGGGTGAAAACACTTTACTTCCAGTTTTTGCATCGAACAATAATAAAACCTCAGATATGGCGAAAGTCCAATAGCAAGTCTCACACCCTCTCAACCCCCCCTGATAATAAAACCTTCATCTTACTGCAATTTGTTTTTGAAAACCATTAGCTGGCGGTAATTGGGTTCACATTGTTTGCAGCGGATTCCAATGGAGTTGCATTGGCATCCAACCATTTGGAAACATTCTTTCAGGTACAGCCAGGTACGGGATATATTTCTGCTCAAGAGGTACTACACAATTATGAACGTTTTAAGGGGGGTGTCAATAACACATTGATTTTTCACTGTTCGCAACAACGCTCAGTCTTTATGCGCAGGGGAACACTGTTGCTTTTCTTGAGATTCTTTCATTTCAGTCAGTAAAGATGCCCTTAGATGGGCAGGTGAACGGTTTGTATGTAGTCTGGAAATTTAAAATCAAATGCCCACCCGACCCGTTATTAATTTTGGCCATATACTCTAAATGCGGACGAATGCCAACACTTGCACAACAAGACCAAAATGTAATTGCCAAATCAAATCTCCCCCCCCCCCCACCCCCGCTAAGACACATTTAAAGCCAAGAGATATAAAAAGATGAAGGAAGCAAAATGGGCTTGGAAGCTAACGGTATGACCGAGTGCACGGATCCTCCTCCGCGGAAGGGCACAACATGGCCCTTTGTGTGCAACTCACAATAGCAATCTGTGCAAGTCAAGGATTAGGTGACCTCTGCATGAAGCCATCCACATCCTGTTTGGAGGTGCTGGGGAGCGACAGCAGAATTGACAATAATGAGGAAGGGCCATTTCATTTTCTTCACCTCCTATGCTGTTCAGGGTCACGGTGAACTCAAGTCTGGCTCAGCGGACGTCGGAAGAAAGGCAGAACATACCCTGGATTAGTCGCCAGTCAATCACAGGGCACATACTGACAACCATTTGACACTCACATTCGCACCGTCCATGTGTGGAAACTGAACCCACGTTGCCTGCATGGAAGTCAAGCGAGTGAACTGAAACATCGTCACTGAGGATTCAGTTTGGTAATTAATCTAGTCTGATGCTGATACGCCATGCCGATGGTTGGTATCTTCATTTTAAATTATTTAGGAATAAGCAGCACACTATTTACATTCCTCCACCTTGGCAAAAGTCCATATTGCAGCTGAAGAAAAGCATTACGCTGCCACCACTATACTAGTTGGATATTCATTTGTGTGTTTCACTTACAGTTGAATTGTGCATGCTATAGATCTTGTTATTATTATTATTACAATACATGATAAATTTTTGAATTTTACAGCAGCTGACTGGCTGTCATCCTTACCTGCCTCTTGCACCTTATAAACAGCGGTGTGCACATTTTCTGCAATGCACCGCAAATTATTTTAAGCATATCAACAAAATGTTTGAAACATTGCATCGACCTTGATGTACTCACTTATGGGCTCGTCATTTTGAGGTGTTTTCAGAGTGTGGAATTGCGAGAATGTGACGTGTTTATTTACTAAGAAAACACACAGTTTGAAAAATTAAGTCACAACAAATTCCTTACCACAATTTCATTCCATGTAAAAGAAGTTGATCTACACTTCCTCTGATAACCGCTGCACATTTTGCATCCCAACCTTTGTGTACAGCGGCTCAAATCAGTAAATCCATCGCTCCCTGCATTCTGTCAGTGACACAGTTCAACGTGGCACTGTGCGAGCAGGCAATCTGCTACTGTTGGTTTGCTTCACTTCCGTTCTGCGACTGAGAATGATTTAGAACATGGCGTTCACCTTACAATTATTCATTATTCTGTTTGAAGCACACGCACTGTATCCTTGATTTAAAAACGTTTGTTTTAGCTTCCCTTTAAAGCACTTTTCCTCAGAACTCAATGAAATGCTCCTCCTGCTGTCAAACCAACATCACAATTAGCTTTCACAAAGGTTGAATGAAAGGCAACCAGTTATAGTGTAAATCCTTTGGGAACATACATTTGACCCGTTGATTTAAAAAGATTTTTTTTTTCTATTTTTTGGCTTAGTCATTGTTGGTGTAACAGTTCACTGGCCTGACTTCCATACAGGTAGCACGGGTTCAATTCCCCCTCAGTGGCAGTGTGAATGTGAGTCTGAAAGGTTTTCTGTTTGTACACGTGCCCATTGACTGACTGGCGACTAGTCCGGGGCATAGTTTGTTTTTTGCTCTAAGCCATCTGGGATGGGCTCCAGCTCTCTATGACCGTGAAGAGGATAAGCGGTACAGAAAATGGATGGCTATTTTTGTCGATGCCCTACAGGAATACATCATCTGTTGTTCAGTGAAGCGGTGAACAGCAATAACACTAAGCACCATTACCCTCATTATCGAGATACGTTAATGCGACTCGACTAATGAAACCAACTGGATAAGCTCTTTGACTGGGGTGCGTTGCACTTAATTTCATGCACGCGACTGCAAACCGGTCTAACTCCAGATGCTAGCTGAGGTGGTAAGACAGAATGATATTGTTAAGATGTTCACTGGCATAGTGGGTAGCTTGGGACAAAGGAGGCTGGGACCATTATCCAGCTCTTCAGGGTTCTTACAGTAGATCCATTCTCTAACGCCCACCCGTGAGTCATTACTCACTATTTGTGCCTCTCTTGCCTCCTCTGTTACTCTCCTCTCTGCCACCCCAAAATGTCACACACGACAAGACAGAGGAACACACAATTAGACGAGAAGATAAGCACGAGAAGAATGTGAACATAAAGGTGGGAAGACAGACGACTGACAAAACAATGACACGCATGTACCAACTGTTAAAGGCATCAACTATCTGTATTCGGACAGTAAGTTACGGAGTAAAGTCTAAAGAGAGGGACATTCTATACAACAGTGTAGCCGTGATCACTTTAGAAAATAGTGACAGAAGTCAGGATTAATATATCTTTGTGCTGGCTGGCTTCCAATATTCATTCCATAAAAAGCTTTAGAGACAACACTGAGCATTCTGGAGAGATTAATTTATTTTACGAGCATAAGTGCTCCATATGGCTTGCAGTGAGGCGACATCTTGAAAAATGAAAAAAGATCCCCTAACTTTCCTTTTACCTCTACGGTAGGCCTAATTTGAAACAGAGGTCATTGGATCATTGTCACTACACTCATCAATTTACAACCACTGTAGACACAGTAGGTATAAAAAAACAAACAAAAAAATTATATAAACACCTCTTAAAAAGGCCGTCTTTTCCTATGAAAATATTAGACCAAGATGAATCATTCATGTCCCTGTTTCATCCAATATTTTGGAGAGAGGGAGAATAAAAGCAAGAACACAGAGCAAAAGCCACCAGCCTGGCTAAATCTTGTAGAAACATGCATCAAGTCTCCTAAAAGCAGGAGGGCAAATGTTCTATGGTCTGATGAAACCAAGGCTGAACCTTTGGACTATAATTTGCCAAAATACGTTTGGTGCGAAAACAATGCACATGACCAAAAGAACACCGTCTTCACAAAGGAGCTTTGTTATCGCAATATCGAGTTTTGGCCTGTTATTTCTCTATGTGGAAGTGTCGGAATTAACAGCATCAAACATCAGTCGCTTTTCGGCACAACACCGCCAGGCTTAATTAAGAGGACATGCTGCACCTTTCAGCATGATGACGACCCAAAAGCCTTAAATCAGCAAAGGAATTTACAAGAAAAATATGAAAGGTGTCAAATGCCCATCCGCAGCACAAATTAGAATCAAATTGGAAATCTATGGTGCTGTGCACACAGGAGAATATTTTGCAGTAACTAAAAACGAGAGCGACCAAAAACTAAGTCAAGTGTGCCATGCTGATCGACTCTCATCCCAAGCACTGAAATATGCTGGTTAGATAAACATCCACAAAAATGTGTTCTTCGCACTTTTCTTTTTCGACATCAAAACCCTCGACACACCTGTTTCGTGTGTTCGCTGACTACTGTATTACTCCACGGGTTAATGCATAAGTATAATGTTCATTGTTATCTTTTTGTAAATCATGGTTAATGTTTTACATAAAGCAACATTTACGGTACCTGAAGTGGATTTTCCATTACTTCAGCCCGGTGAGCCAGAGCGATACTCAAATTAAGAGCGTCCCACGAAACACTTAAATTTGCCATCATATTGTACAACAGTTTAGATATTTTTGTCTTGCACAGTTTTCCTCTCTACATTTTTGGCCGCCCCTTTTCAGCCCGTTCCATGCCGTGCATCCTCTGCCCACGCCGCAGCGCAACACTACAAGGGACACATTTATTCAAACTTAACTTTTTGTTGACACATCTGATTGCTTTGCGGCCGTAGGAAATATGAACACCTTCACCAACTGGCGCTAATTACCATACATTTTGAGCGGAGAATACATTTAGAGAGAATAAAGTATTTAAACGCTAGTGCCATCATGACGAGGCACAGTAATTTGGTTACAAGTCCCACGTTTCTATGATGCGCACAAATACGGGTGTCATTGAACGCAACATATTCTAAAATATGCTTTTCAGAATTGATGCATTTGTTAATCCTTTTAGACAATTCGCATATAAGAGTGAGAAAACAGACGCTGGAGCTCGTGAATTACATCATTTATTGACATGAGACATATATACATTTTATTAAAATCAGATCATTATCTTAAAGTTCAAAGCGTTTACTATTGTTTACATTAAAAAAATAAATTTAACAATAATAATAAATATTGTAATACGGTTAATTGAACCTTATTACAATATTTTTTATTTGTTATTGGATGAAGTTGGAGATCAGGTGCATGTGTTCTGGCATAGCAAAATGTTTAAAAGTTTGGAAAAATAAAAAAATAAATCAAAATGGTTGTTCATATTTACAGTTCATAGTTCATAATTACAGTAAGATACTGTATGTTGCCACCTCGTGGGCACCTCCAGGATGGCAAAGTGATGTGAGGGACCGTTTGTCACGTTTACAAAGGTAGACTATAAACTGTCTCTGAAGGGGACATATGAAATATGATTTGGGTTTGTGTTTGACCAGTGGGTCTCAAACGTTTCACACCCAGATACCACCTCAAAAAATAGTGACTCTTCAAGTACCACCAAAATGGCAAACATTAAAAAATAGGAGCGGCCGAATTGGTCATCAAAAATGAGGCAGAGATTTTATTCCTCGATATTTTAAATATTTAATTTTAAGCCACTTTTGTATGGTCTGTAATTGATTGGTTTTGAATTGAAATCTGCCAGTTGGCAAACTGGCAGATTTCAATTCAACGGCGTTCGACTGGTTAGCACGTCCGCCTTACAGTACAGAGGTCGTAGGTTTGAATCCTGGCTCCAGCTTTCCTGGGTGTAGTTCAGATGTCCTCCCCATGCTTGCATGGGTTTTCTCTGGTTTCCTCCCACATTCCAAAAACAGGCATGGTAGATTGATTGAATGCTCTAAAATTTCCCCAGGTGTGAATGTTTGTTTTTTCATTGTGTGCCTTGCGATTGGCTGGCAACTAGTTCAGACTGTACCCAACCTACTGCACAGAGTCACCTGGTATAGACTCCAACACACTCGCGATCCTCATGAGGATAAGCAAATCAAGAAATGGTTGAATGGATGAAATCCTCTAATGGTTTGGCGTGATTTCCCCCCACGCTGTGTAGTGTTTTCATGAACACATTAGTGTTACTTTAAACACTCAATTGTGTCATTATCCCTGCACAGTCAACACTACATTTTGTTGCTGTGACACACTTGAGTAAACGTTACTTTAACACCAGGCAATGTGGATGCATATAGACAACTTTGCCCGTGTTAAAATGAACACCCATCGGTGTTGGATTAACATCAGCAGATTTGCAGAGCAGTCCCTGATACAAGTCACTGGAAGTTCAATATGGCACCTCATGGGAACTAACTCTGAGGATCTGCCCAAAAATAAATACATAAATAAAATGCTGCTCCACATGAAGATGGGCAAGGCGATTAGAAAAATGCAAATAAAATAAATGAAATATGAATTAGGGTACAGTTTTCACATTTTCACTTAAGGGCTTGCTAAGGGTTGTTGCCAGTGGTTTAGATTTATTTTGAGGGAAAATCAAACTCTATGCTGACCTTTAAATTGTAGCAAAGCGTCATTCCTTCACTGTTGTCCCATGAAAACCTTTCATAAAATATATTTACACTTGTGAGCAACAAATAACTTTGGGTTTTATCTCGTTCGCGAGTGTGTCTGTACATTTGGCTGGATCTTTCCAGCTCTTGTCCAAATGCAGGTTGGATATGGTTTTCAGGTACCAAAATGTAATTAGATTGGTGTGTTTACATACAGTAAATGTCCGAGAGCATAATTGACATTTTCAGCAATGCTTTGAAAACATTTTACTTCTTTTTGATACATAACAAATATACCTGTACATTTATAGTATAAAGGAAATGAGGGAAATGCTAAACACATTTGGTTTAATTGTGATGCATTTCCAATGTTTCTGACAAGACTCCAAACAGCCACCTGATATCTTTGAACGGGCTTCTCATGCTCCCGTCAACAGTCAACAGGTGTGTCTGAATCCTCAATGGTCCTTCCCCTTTTGGGAAGCTCATCTGTACCTGAAAAGTAGAAAGAGCAAGGCTCGTCTCGACAAATGTTGCACATGAAGCCAAGACATGTCTTCTCCGTATGGGTCCAGGTGCAGATCTGCTTGCTGGTGGTCAAAGAGATAGAATGAGAAAATATGGAGGAGTGCCCTTTCATATCAACTAACTGAGTGATGCTGCTTTATTTCTGTGAGGAACATTTGTTTTCTGCTGTTAGCCATGCCGGTATTATGGCAGATTTATCTTTTCATATTAACAATAACAGCTCCCAGAGGCTTGCAACCAGAGCATGCGTTACATACATTACTATGATCAGAGCTACAGTATACCTGTAGATGCAGACTATATTTTGCTCCCGCAACGTGCACTTATGATACTCGCTACCCTGTGAAGTCAATGTGAATCGGTGGCACGTCTCAACGTGCACTTATGACACTCTACCCTGTGAAGTCAATGTGAATCGGTGGCACGTCATATTTTTATTTCTTTTCACAAAATGTATTCTTTGTGCTCTGTTTTGAGTCTGCCAGCTCGCTTTACTCCAGTAACGACAGCCATTTGACGGGATTGCTGCGGCGTGAAAGGGAAATGGGACAATAGAGGAAAACATACTTTATTTGAATTGACAAACTTTACATGACTGAACCACTTCCCCTTTTGAATGACAATGTCGTAAAATTTCTCAAGACACTGCAGGTTTCTAAACATGTGCTGATGGACAATCAGCGTGAGCTTTAAATGGCAGATTATCTCATGCATTTGGTCGGTGCCATTTTGCCCTGTGGCTATGGAGAGAGCTTCACATCACACCAAATGAGGAGTGCAAAATATCGCTGTTCATTGACCTTCCTGATTGAGAACAATGTCAGAGGGTAAACATGAGGAAAAGCCGAGTGGGGAACAACAGATGCGGCAGCGATCAAAAGGTAGTGATAACAGAGGCTGAATACTGTGTTCGTTGAAAAAAAGCAAGCCAAGGAAGGAGTGAGGTTTTTGTTGAGAAAAAGCTCAGGAGCAGCAAATGTAGTCGACATAAAAAGACTCCTACGCACTCTTTGTCGAGCCTACGCCTCTGATTTTGAAGGAGTGGAAAACTTCATTTTCTTTCTTCCTCTTGGTCTCATCCTCAACTGACATCTTTATCTCCTAATCTTTCCCTACACCATCCTTTTATACTATACTGCTCCAATGTGTTCAGGACACTGTGAAAGGCACACAATACATGGATGATTGTTTTCTCTTCACGTGTGTTATGTAAATGAAAACATTGTTAATAAACCCGATTTCAATAACCAACCTTCAAAATCACCCGAACACGCATATACTGTATGAAGGAGTTAAAAATGTAATAACACGTTTTATTTTATGCACCGACAGGATTAAAAGAACAATAGAAAATGACACAGTGAATAAGAAAATACAGCAACGCAGAATGAAACACAAAAGCTGGGGGGGAGGAGTAGGAGTGATCAGACTTCAATCACAGTAATCATTATTGATTGAAGAAAAAGTGGACTGAAAACTAGAATCCGATGGTAATATGAATGCCCTACACTGGTCTGACCCACATTTAAGTATATGATTGCAACTCAATGGTGGATGAGGCACAATTCATGTATAATCACGAAAAAATTTAATCCTTTGTAATGATGTTACTATGCTCATCACAAACCCCCTCCGGCATTGAAAAACAAGTGATTGATAGAGAGTGAGAGTTGTGATGTCATGGAGCAACCAGTCCAGTTCAGGGCAGGCTTTGGCAGTTTGACAATCAGATGGAGTCACTTTATTAGCCCTTATATGAATGCAGTGGAACCTTGATTTAATGGATTTTGGACTTAACAGACAGAAAATAGTGTCCAGTTCACTCCAAAAGCCCCTTTTTACAGTCACTGTCAAAATCTGTCATCTCCAGAATAGAGTGCTGGCATTTACTGGGACTATGGTGCAATCAACAGAATAACATGTTTCCATTTTGTCCCACTGCTGTTTTATATATATATATATATATATATATATATCATAATCCGAGGCGTAAAAATCTTGAATTTTTCTGGTCGAAATCCGATTTGGTTAATAACAGACATTCGAAAACCGAGGTTTGACTGTATAGTAATTCAACAATACTTCCTGTGACATCTATTGTGGTACTCTTTGTGTGCCGCCAGGAGATGCACAATACAGACATCCCCAATTATATATATATATCCCACACAGACTAGATCGGCTAATAAATGTGTTTACGTGGTGGCCATGATGGCAGGGTAAATATATCCGTCAAAGGCAATGGAAAGCATGGACATTAGCTTAGCATCATGAAGGGCGAATCTACCTGTTCATATCTATGGCTGTTGCTGATTTGGGACCAGGCTATCCTGATTTTTGTAGAGTATACAATTGATAATTTTTTTGTTGTTAGTTTTGTTTTCAAGCCTTTCTCTATGGCGTCCAATCATAACAGAGGTGAAAACAAGGAAGCGCACTAAAGTCACGGTTCATGAATGCAACCATATCTCTCCCAGCACCAGTTAGGTCAGTTTGAATAAACCTGAAAACATTTCAAACAGTTTCAAGCTTTTTTTTAATATGAATTTGCAATGAGTTTATCTTCTACTCTGCGTTTTCTATGCAATGAAAAAAGTACAGTTATTTTGTACTGCATCAGGCGTTTCTAGGCTGCAAAAATGTACTTCAATTTTAAAAGAATACATAATCGACTTTATTGGACCACCCCTCCAGCCTTTTAATGGGTTAAATCAAGGTTCCAATGCAGTAAAAGACTCCCGCAAGAGGTTATTGTTGGAACACATCACATTTTATTCTAAATTTAATTGACCGATCATACTATATATCAAACTGCCACAACACATTATAAAGGCCGGCAAGCGAAGACAATCCAATAAAAATTCGAGCCTTCAATATTTCAAGCCAAATGTTGTCCATGCCCAGAGTTCATAAGCAATGACAACTGAGATTCCCCAAACTGACAATGTTCTGAGTTAAGGCAAACTCCCATCTAATCCAACTTTATTTATGTCGCACTTTAAAAAAACAACACAGTCAACCAAATGGCTGTATGTTGATCGAAAAAAAAGGCACAAAGACACAACAAACAAGAAAAAGCCACAGAAGACTACAGTAAGCCTAAAAATAGTCCAAAAAGTCAACTCACAAACTGAGTTAAATAGCAATGAGAATGAATGAGTTTTTAGCAACAACTTCAAAAGTGAATTGGCAAGTCCGATCTTCAGAGGGAGACCGTCTTTGCGCAGCTACTGAAAAGTCCCGATTACCTTTCAGCAGTTTGTTTTTGGAACCACAAGAAGAGCCAGATCCGCCGACCTCGGTTTGATTTTCAGAGGGAGACCATCTTTGCGCAGCTACTGAAAAGTCCCAATTACCTTTCAGCACTTTTTTTTTGTTTTTCGAACCACAAGAAGAGCCAGATCCGCCGACCTCGGTTAACGAGATGGGGAGTATGGCACCAGCAAATTACACAGACACTGAGGGGCCAAACTATGAAGACATTTAAACGCAGCCACAAGAATTTTAGAATCAATACGAAGGTGCACAGTGAGCCAGTCGAGGGGCCGGAAGTTGAGAATTATCTGGTCAAATTTACTTGATCTAGTTAGAAGGCGAACTAATAGACAATTTGAAGTCGTGAAAGTGACGTTTTGCTGTGTAAGGTGTACAGTCCATTACATTCATCTAAACGAGTGATAAAAGCAGGTATTAAATGGTGTTTCTCATGTGTATGCAGAACCGCGATGTTCAGAAAGGGTGACGTTTATGACTGTTGACTGAGGTGTACATCAAGTTCACGACAAGGCATATTATTTATGTTTTGGGTTGATGGAATTCATATTATTTGGAGAGAAATTCTCGAATACCAATAAAATATTTTCAATATCACAATTAATACATTCATTTAGTTCTTTGTTTTTAAAGTCAATTTATTCTTTATTTGATTCAGGAAACTTCAATGACCTAATCACTATCGAGGGTATGCCTCCTCACTAAAGATGTGTATTATGCTTTGAATTGTTTTATATTTACTGGGGAAGATGATTGGAAACCTGCCAAGAGAGTTTATTCAAACTGAGCAGATCGATACAAATTAGGTCAGAACAAATGAATCTAAAACCGGCCCTAAGATTGGTATGTGATCCAAATCTGACATGACAATCTGTACATGTTTGAGGCAAAATAATAAGACCGTGCACTTTCCACTGTGTGCTGTCAGAACTTGGGTTAAGAGGGAAAACCCAATTAAAAAATCTCGGCCGGCTATCACTTAGGAGTCAAATCCTAAATGTTGTGACCTTTTAACAGCATCCAGGAATGTAGCAGTAAAGAGATGTTGGTGCCGACATGGGATTAGGTTGCATCGCCAAGCATAGCGATGAAATATACAGTCGTGAACATATAAGCAGCGCCGTATAGAACATGAGGTAAACACTGTGCAAGGATGATGATACCCAAACAAGCAAGAAGAAACATTCCCACACAAGCGGCGAAGAATCCCATGAGCGAAGGGGATTCATAGAGAAAATCTGATATGCTTCGACATTGTAGTTGTGCGTGGTTTCGAGGCTATCGTTGAGCTTGCAAATACCTCCAAACTGTGAGTGAGAGGATAAGGTTATTCTCTTGAGGCTCGCAATAGCATAATAACACCATGTTGTGTAAGTTCTGCCAGTGGTAGATATTCAAGCTCCTTCTAACAGAGGACTCTGCCAGATGTTCCAAGCAGACCCACACAATACATCCGCCAGGCCAGACCGCCATCTTCCCTCACCATTGGCACAAACACACCCCAGCCTCGCTTCACTTGACAGTCCAAGGCATGCGGCTGCAAGTCCGAGCACATCACAACGTTCACCATCTACCTGCGCCCAAGAGTTTCCTGCTGCCAGGTGCACTTGGGACACCATGACGTTTGAGGATGATATTCCACATGAGGGCGCTGGTGATGTTCCCGGTCTCACTGTGCTATGCCTACATGAGTGTTGAATTCTCCCAGCAGGGCGAGAGAAATGCCCCGCAGGAGCACTCAGTAGCACCCACCCCAAGGACTCGCAAAAGGGAGGGCCTTCTGAGCTAATGTTTGGAGAATAGGCACAAACAACAGTCAGGGCCCGTATCCTCACCTCAAGGCAGAGGGAGGTTAGCATCTAGTCTACTTGGGTGAACCCCAGTGTACAAGCACCGAGCCCGCTGTTGCCTAATTTGGGTAGAAATCAACACATCTGAAGCAACAAGAAACACCCGTAGCACTTGTTGAGTGGGTGAACTCAAGCCGATCTCAGCTGACTTTGGACGAGAAGCACAATGCACGCCAGACTTGTCGCCTGCCAGTCACAAGACCAACAACAAACTTTTTTTTTTTGTTATACACGACCAAAATTATAAATGCAACACTTTTGTTTTAACTACCATTTTATTGAGCTGAACTTGAAGATCCACACCTTTTTTCTATGTACAGTACATAAAAAGGCATAGTTCCCTCTAATACTGGAAACAACCCTGTGTTGGTGTGCGCTTCACCTTTGCAAAAATAATCCGAATACCTCATAAGTGTGGCATAGATGCCGATGAGTTATGAATTAATTTACAAGCTTGGGAATGAATTAAATCCGTAAGTCAAGGCACCACTGTAATTGTTGTCATAAATGCACGAAAAGCGGGCTGTACGTTTTAAACCCAGTTCCATCGACTGTGCTCATTGCACGTGACAAACGGGGTCGTCTGCTCTGCCTGCGCGCTTTTATTATTTTTCGACAATGCTCTTATATATTTACTGACACCTGTTTGCCCAATGTCTATATGCGTGCTACCGGGTCAGTGGTGACTCCTCTTAAAAGAACTGTCGTCCTCTCATCACCCTGATTTTTAAAAGTGGAGGGAGGTGGGTGGTGCAGTGGTAGAGCTACGTGTTGCTGCGCAGCAACAGATAGAAGAGAGATGTTAGAGAGAGAGAGAGAGAGAGAGAGAGAGAGAGAGAGAGAGAGAGCGAGAGAGAGGGGGGAGGAATAGAGCGAGCCAGCGAGAGGAATCCCCCTGTTCAAACAAAAGCAGTTGTCAGGGCGTGTGTCTGCCTGGCGGCTCTCTCAGCTCAGACTTATCCGTGGCTGTGATGCTGTAAACACAGCGGACTATATTCTTGCATATTTGAGAAAGGAGTGTCAATTATTTTTGTATGGCTGCTTTTTCACATTCGGCATCACTCCAATTGGAGGAGTTCATCCCAATCAACGTGATTGAAACGCGCTTGCAGTTTTCCAGGAAATACATGTTCATTTGTCCATTCTAGTGGGGACAACTTGGCCACAAATTGCCAAGATGCTATCAATGGAATCATCTGCGGGGATTTGGTGACGCGTTTGCAGTAAGTTCTTTGTTTGCATGTTTGCTCGCTAATTCATGTGAATACGTCTGAGGGGAACACGTGGATGTGCCGTAAAAAGACGCCGTGGTGATTAAAAAGCACAAGTGTGGAAATAGTTCGCTTCCATCAATGTTTCAATAGAGCCCTTTTTCTTTCATTTTTCTTTGTGTGTGTGTGTGTGTGTGTGTGTGTGTGTGTGTGTGTGTGTGTGTGTGTGTGTGTGTGTGTGTGTGTGTGT